GAAGGGTTCAGGCCCGAAACGTCAGCTTTCCTGCTCCTCTGATGCTGCTTGGCCTGCTGTGTTCATCCGGCTCTACACCTTGTTATCCCATGAACTGGAAACCAGTTTCCCCCATACCCTTAAGTCATGCATTCGTATCTCTAATCAGATTTTCACTCACACTCGCACGTGCTGTCAAACAATGTCACTTCTCACCTATAGTGTCCTGTACTATCACTACACTACCCCTTACTTCTCCCTCTTGAGTAGCTTCCTGTACCATGATCAATTAGCTCATCCACCCTGCAGCCCTCGCTCTCTTCCAAAACAAGTTGAAAGAATTTTAAACCCGTGGGGCAATTGCAAAGTCTGGGCTTCCGATCTGCTTGACTCATAATCACAATCTCCTGTACCTGAACACTTATGAAGTCTAACCCCAAGGTGTGACTACCTCCTGCTCCAAAAAAAATCCAGGCAACTTCCCCCTCCCTAGATTACAAACAGGCCATTTGGCACAACTATCTCATGCTCTTGCATTCATTCTCCATTCCTTGCTCTAAGCTGCCTATTTACCCAAGAACCAATCTCTCAGTTGTTGGCAGACAAAAAAAAGTGTCTCTGTCTGATTTACTGTTCACCAGTCCATAGACCAATCAACTTTTTGTTGCCAGCGAAATCTTTGTCAATTTACCTTCGTTCTAAATTGTACACAACCAAATTTCATCACTGCTTGTTCAAACAGTTGGTTATATGATCCCAGGCATAGGTGTTGAATTACCTGCTTTCAAACCTGTAGCAACCCTTGAACTCTTGTTTTAAAAACAGCTCTTTCTCATTTCGGTCCCCAACATAAAACAAAGAGACAGCCTTTGCACTAAGTTTGAATAGTCATCAAACATTTATTCCCAAGGAATGCATGCATCAGAGCTTATGGAAATGATGTTTTCATAGTCTTACAATTGTACAGTGTCCAGGGATACTTGAAGCTTTATGCTGTTTTACAGCACTCACTGCAAAAAGCAAGTGACAATAAATCATTCAATTCAATTTAATACATAACCTTATTTAGACAAGAATGATATTGGATAATAGAAAAGTGTTGCCCAGTACTGCAGTCCACAGAAAGCAATATTTCTATTAAAATGTAACTGTTTTTCAATGTACAGTCCCTTTAAACATTTTGAGCAGTCTTGCAGGTATAGCTGTATTTCTGTCTCTCTTTGTGCTCTTTCCAGTCATTTCTCATGAAGACAATGATTTTTGACAATACAATTTCATAATATCAGATACAGACTGTAGACTAAGAGTATCAACAGTCTATTGATGAGTGATTTTAAATGGTATCACAGCTGAGACTAATTCTGTCCACATTTAATAGTCTGCAATGATGGCTGGATATTGAAAGTGAAATTCAACTGATAAATTTTTAAGGTCCTGTGGTACAGGCCTGGTAATGGCCTCTGGGCCAGAATACCTGGATTCCAGTCCCATCTACCCTGGAGGCGTGTCCAAACACCTTGATTAAACATACTTGTACCAGAAGGATTACAACAAATTTTGTTCTTTTCTAAATGTGGAGCAAAGAAGCCACTTATAGCATCCTTACCACTACCTCTATTGAGCTCAGCTCATTAAGTGTAGATCATGGACTCCTTTGAACATCTTTCCAGTCTGCATAATTTGTCTGCTTGCCACCATACCACTATCCCTGAGGGAGCTTGCAGTGTTCTGTAACAAGTTTATAAATTTGCCTTCTCATCCAGCATGTGGATATGTAATATTGAGTACTAAATGCAAATGTATCTTTTTATGTAAATCCAATTGTTTTATTATGGCAATGATAGAAATCCACTTTTGAGCCTACGTGAGAAAAAAGGAAATCCAGGGATTTGGCAGGTAGAGTGTCAAGAGGTAAAGTGAGATTAGACTTGTAGATATTTTCTGACCAACCTGTTCAAAAGTGTTCTGACACCTCCTGGAGCAGGTGGTACTTGAACCTGGGCCTCCTGGACCAGAGGGCAGGACAATACTACTGCACTTTAAGAGTCATTGAATGCAGTATAAAGACTAACAATCAGTTGGAATGGTCTTTTTCTGTGCTGCACCCTGTGTATTTTGCTTATTGCTGTCAAATCAGAACTTCGCTTCCTTTTTAATTTTTTAAATTTTTCCATAAACCTTGTTTAGTTTAGACGTGTTCCATGTCCTCCTACATGCTAAAATTTTCATAACCATTAAATCCAATTATACGTACTGAAAAAAAAACTTCAAATGAACCTGGAATCTGATCTATTTCAACCAGAAGTTGCAGTTCCATTTAAATTGAAACTAGACAATTAATCTACTGAGTAGATTGGGATTATATTCATTGGAATTCAGAAGATCGAGGGGGGATCTTATAGAAACATATAAAATTATGAAAGGAATAGATAAGATAGAAGTAGAGAGGATGTTTCCACTGGCAGGTGAAGCTAGGACAAGAGGGCATAGCCTCAAGATTAGAGGGAGCAGATTTAGGACTGAACTGAGAAGGAACTTCTTCACCCAGAGGGTTGTTAATCTATGGAATTCCTTGCCCAGTAAGTAGTTGACACTACTCCAGTAAACGTTTTTAAAGATAAGGTAGATTTTTTTGAACAATAAAGGAATTAAGGGATATGGTGAGAACACGGGTATGTGGATCTGAGTCCACGAAAAGATCAGCCATTATCTTATTGAATGGCAGAGCAGGCTCGAAGGGCCGGATGGCCTACTCCTGCTCCTAGTTCTTATGTTCGTTTTATCTTGAGATCTAAAAGCCAACTTTAGTAAATGGTGTTCTGCTTAATCTCTGCAGCCAGGAGTCAGTTCAATATATGCCTAATACTTGCTGCTATAGCTTTGAAAAATACTTACATTGAACAGTGCAGGTTTCAGCATAATTGCAGATTGTGGCTCAGCACTTAACCTGCTTTCTTTTTGTTGCATCTTGGATCTGTTAGTATGCCAAACTATTTAAGTACCTGGTAAGTTGTTGCACTTTCTTTGAGATATAACAAGTAGTTATCTAAGTGATAGTAAGAACTGCCAATGCTGGAGTCAGAGATAAGTGTGGAGCTGGATGAACACAGCAGGAAAGCTGATGTTTCAGGTCGGGACCCTTCTTCAGAAATGGGGGAGGGGGAAGGGAGCTCTGTTCGCAACAAACGACAACACCTTCCAGTCGTGAACCACTTCAACTTCCCCTCCCACTCCCTGGACAACATGTGACACTGGAGGAGGCCCAGGATGGACAACGACACCACGTGGAAACTGGAGGAGCAGTACCTCCTATTCCCCCTTGGGAGCCTACAATCCAATGGTCTCAATGTGGACTTTACTAGTTTCAAAATCTCCCCCGCCCCAGCCCCATCCTCATCCCATGACCAGTCCTCCCTCTCATACCCGCCTCCTTGACCTGTCTGTCTTCTCTCCCACTTATCTGCTCCTCCCACCTTACTGACCAATCCCCACCACTCCCTACCTGCACTCACCTACACCATCCCACCTACCTTCCCCAGCCCCAACCCTCCTCTCTCTATTTATTTCTGAGCTCCTTTCCCCCTTCCCCATTTCTGAAGAAATGTCCTGACCCAAAACGTCAGCTTTCCTGCTCCTCTGATGCTGCTTGGCCTGCTGTGTTCCTCCAGGTCCACTGTGTTATCTCTTAGTTATCTAAGTGCTTCTCTAATCCTAAGCAAGAAATAAACTGATTTAGCAATCCACAAGTGCGTATCCTCTTAAGTGCAGGATTTATGGTCTGCCATTGTATCTCATGTTTAAAGAGACAAGTTGGTAAAGCCGTGAAATATGAATCATGCTCCTGAATCACTTTGCATTGGATTCCAATGAATAAGACCAAGGTTTCTATGTTTTCTTTCTCAGGATGAGAAAGAGAGGGCATTTTTTGCTGTGTTTGATGGCCATGGTGGAGTAGATGCTGCTGTCTATGCTGCAACACATCTTCATGTCAACTTTGCACATCAGAAAATGTTTTTGACACAGCCAGAAGAGGCGTTAAGGCAAGCCTTCAAACAGACCGATGAAATGTTTCTTCAGAGAGCCAAGAGAAAGGTGAGTGTAATGAACCTTAGCAGCATTTAGAAAGGCCAGTGACAACTTGCTCAACACCACAAACTATCTTTATTGGAGAGGACTCTTCCGTCACTTATTTTGTTTCTGTTACAAAGCCAACACAGAAGTAATAAATAATTAGCCTGTCCATTTAGATTTCAGCATGTAATAAAGCTAAAGGACTGTCAGGCAAATCAGGCTTACTTTATTATTATTTTCTTTGTTAATGTAAAGCATTTTCAGGTGGTGTTAAAATGTTGAACTTTGACTGTGATCTGACTGAAGGCAGCACCCATTTAAGGAATCCAGTTAGTAGACACTTGCTACCCGGATTTTATTGGAAGCAGGAAGTGGGGCATAGCTCAATAAGGACTAGAGGAAGCTGTTGCATACTGTTAATGTCATTAGACTAGTAATTCAGAGTCCGAAACTAATGGTTTGGGGATGTGGGTTCAAATCCCACTAATAGATAATGAAATTTGAATGCATTGAAAATCTGGAATTAAAAACTAGACTAATGATAACTATGTAACAGTAAAATAAAATCCATCTGGTTCACAAATCTCCTTGAGGAAGAAACCTTACCTGGTCTAGCCTAAACGTGACTCCAAACCCACAACAACGTGGTTGTCCCTCTGAACTGCCATTTGAAAAGACCTGGCAACTCACTCAGTTCAATGGCAATAAGTTATGGACAACAAATACCAACATCCTATGAAAGAATAAAGAGAGATGGAGAGGTCGAATGGCTAAACTTGTGATTGTGGAACAAAATAGATGCTTCTTACCAAGTTGTCATCTGTGTTGCAGAAGTTACGGAGTGGTACCACTGGAGTGGCAGCCTTGATTGTTGGCGATACACTGCATTTGGCCTGGCTTGGAGACTCTCAGGTGATGATGGTACAGCAGGGCCTGGTTGTGACTCTTATGGACCCACACAAACCTGAAAAAGAGGTGAGTGAGTCATTAAGGGAAGGTATTTTAGAAACAAAGGGAGGACTTCAGCTAAACTATGATTTCACATTTATCTGTTATAGGCACAGCTGACCAGGATTTTAAATGTCTATGTCGATTATTAGCAAAGTGAAAGTTGGGCTGACCTGTTAATTGTACAAATGAACATTAGAATGCCATTAATATAATTGTTTAATATTCATAATATAGTCTTTGCACATGAAAGTCTTAGATTTTTGTCGTGTAGGAAAGTTTTTCCGTTCGTCAGTCAAACTGGTTGCAGATGTATGTTGCTTTACACTAAAGTATCCCACCAGTGTCACCAGCTAATCAGTAGATATCAGTGGAGATGTTGGACCTGGCTTACTCTGACCTGTACAAAAACAGAAGTTGCTGGAAAAGCTCAGCAGGTCTGGCAGCATCTGTGAAAAAAAAAATCAGTTAATGTTTCGGGTCTGGTGACTCTTCCTCAAACTTCAACAGACCCTTACTCTGTCCTGTGTCTGACTGTTTGCTTCTAAATTATATGTTGTTTTAACTTTTGCTTTGGGCAAATTTTGTTGGCTATCCCTGTCTGAATTATTCTGTTTTAGAGTGAGAAACAGAGGATTGAAGATCTTGGTGGATGTGTGGTATTTCTGGGATGTTGGCGTGTAAATGGAACTCTTGCTGTTTCAAGAGCAATTGGTGAGTATATGCCGGAGCGCTGTACATAAGACCTACTGAATTTAGCAGTTGGTCATCTGCGTATCAAAGCAACAAATAGACAAAGCAGTTGGAGAACCCAACACTGATTAATTTCTAGTCCCATGTTTCCACTTTATATTTAAATCTTACACAATCAACAAACCGACAAATCCTAGCATCCAAAACACACAGCTTCTGTTAATTATCTTTTATGTGATATCTTTACACGATGGACTTAAACTTTCCCACTTATGCTGGAATTAATTCTTTGACATTGGGCATATGTAAGTGCAACTTTTTAAAATAAAAATAAAATACTGCAGATGTTGGGAGCAAACAAAATGCTGAGAAGCTCAGGCCTGGCAGCATCTGCAGAGAGAAACGGTTAAATGTTTCGAATTCAGTGACTTCATTGAACATTTATGAGCATTACTGTTAATTGCCAGACGGTTGTTAAAGTGAAGTTAAAGATTGATCTGTTTCAAATTATTTCATTTTGCTCAAAGTCTAAAACTAATTTTATAAGAAGGACAAAGTAGCATGTTATGCGTATGTTCAAGTTTTGTTCAAGCTTCTCTGGGGAAGATGTGACTCATTCTCAACAGGAAGGGACTGGACACCTGGGTTTTCTGATTTGTGCCTTATGTAAAACCAGCAACTTGCATTTATATAGCACCTTTAACATCTTCTGTTAGACATCAAATGCTGTTTTGTTGGAGCTGCACGATACATGATTTGACACCAAAGAATAAAAGATATTATGCCAGAGATGGATTTTAAAGAGTATAGATGGAGACGGTTGGGCTGAGAATTGCTCAGTTTGAGTGTCAGGGCAGCTGAAGGCGTAGCAGCCAATTTTGGAATTATTAAAATTGGGAATACATAAACAGCCAAAAATGAGAGTGCAGAAATTTCAGAGGTTCATAGGAGTTGAGATTGGGAAGGAATGAGTCATGAACAGATTTGAAAATTGGATGAAAATTTTAAAATGAAAGCATTTGGGGACTGGACATCATTGCAGCTCACTGAGGACAGAGGTGATGGGTGAACGAGAAAGTTAGAACACAGGAACAGGGAAGAGCTTAATTTTGTGAAAGGTGCAGAGTGACGGGTCAGTGAGGAGAGCACTGAAATAGTTGAGGCTGGAAGTAGCAAAGGCTTGAGTGAGAGTTTCATCAGTAGAAAAGATGGGTCATGTTGGAAATATGAAGTTGGGGTTGTTGGTGATGGAGGATAGTGTATCACAAGCTTACCTTGGGGGTCAGTAAGGACTCAACTTGCATACTATCTGGTTCTCCCTCTGACATTAGTCAGGGAGAGAGATAGATCTGATGGAAGCTCTGTTTCTGATGGAAGCTCTGTTTCTGATGGAAG